AAATAAATAAATAAGCTTTAAATGCCAACCATTTTATTGGATATTTGAAATAAATTAAACAATTATTTTCAAAAAATTCTGAAATGCATATTTAATACATCAAGTTCATTTAAAAAAAACAAAAACGGAGAATTGCTAAATAATTTTTTTTTAAATTGCAAATATTTTTCTTATTCGACACATATTGTGGGCTAATTCCTTCAATTTAATGTGTAAATTAAATTCCATCATATAATTAATTTGATAAAAAACGTGCTTGAATACCTTAATAACTACACAATTCCAATAAGATGTTTTTTGTTGTTGTTGTAAAAATAGGTTGCTAATTTTTTATTATTAATTATAATGTTTATAAATTATTTATTATTATTTTAATTGGAAAATTAGCCTGTTTCAGATAAATAAAAAATGAAAGCAGCTTTATTACCATCATGCTAATAAAGAATGCAGTGAAGTCTGATGAGGCTAAATTTACTCCCCTAAACTGATGAAATGTCATGACTGTCGTGACACACACAGCTCATGTGTTATTGCATTAACACTCAGGCATTGGCCTTTCTCTCACCTTGCATTAGATTCAGAAGTTCTTCATCAGAGAGTGGTCTTTGCTAATAATCGTGAACACAATCATCTGCAGTGTGGAAACGTGCCGTGCGTGAAGCCTTTAGAGAAACCAGATGTTTTCATCCTTCTATCCTGCGCTGCCTCCAACCTACAAATATCTCAGCCTTTCTTTTCTGTTTGCCTTGTGATGCACTAAAAAATGCTGAGCTGCTATTTAGAGTCAGGCATCTCACTGACATTCTTTCAAGAAAGAAAAGCCGAGGAGGGGGAGACGAAACCCAGGTTATACAAACATCACTGAAGACTGATTTTTGCAGACACACACACACACACACACACATGTATCTGCATGTGAGTGGCAGGCATCCAATACAGATTATTCAACTTCAGTCTTGCAGATTGTTAATAAATCTTCACACACATGTACCAAAGCTGCTCTGAATAAGGGTTGCATGATATAATAATTATTTCCATAGGCTTAGCAAAACCAGCAAATGTCAGCATATGCAGATCACGCCCATGTTTTCACTATTTGCCTCAAAATTTTCACACTCCACTGTGAGCACATTGACAGGTGCGCTGATCTACATTATACTGAAGCTTGTGCAGAAAACCTCACGTTCAGTGTTCAAAGAAGCAGCACATTTTAAAGGAAGCGCTTTAGCTTTCGTAGTCATATTTAGAGTGAGTGGGTCCCTGTCAGTAGAACACAATGAGAATCTAACCACCCCTGACCTCAATTCTTCATCAAATTGATCAACTGAGGCCTCTTTTGTGTGTTTTTGCTTTCATTTTGCTTGACTTTGTTTTAGATTGAACAACTAGATTTGACTGCAACACACCCGTGCATTACATAGATGAACAAAAAGTTGTAAATTCTTGTTTAATTCTTATTGTTTTTAATTCTTATAACTACAAAGGAATCGTTTATTAAGCATTAGCAAATAGTTGATTCGTTATCTGTTAAGCATTAACTCTACATAGTAAGCAGTTTATAACTGCAGATTACAATTGCTCTGTTATTCACTTAAAATATTGATTGTATTTTCTTACTTTAAGATACATTTTTCCATTACTAAATTAAGTATTGCATTATTTACAAACCAGTTAATAAAGCATAGGTGGTGTTTTTAAAGATCATTCAGAATGAGTAAGTAAATAATTAATACACTATTCATATCAACATTTATAATTCTTATTAATCAGGCATATATTGATAGTTCATTTGTATGTTAATAACTGCTTTATTAAGTCAACTGCATTAAGTTTTGTGGCCTAAAACTATTTAAGCTTTATAAATCCCTAATGAATGAGAATTAAAGGGAATTAGTTTTATTCTAAACAGGGAAAAAAGAAAATAAATGACTTTATTAATTGCTACTCATTTGAAGATACAAAAGTTAAACTGAATCAATTGAAAAATAATTCTTGGCAATCTTAATTAAAATAAAATTACTGTGCAGTTTAAACATTGCTAAATAACATTAAAATGTATCATAATATATTGTTAAATTTTATTTTATTTCAATTTTATTTAGTTGTATTTATTTTTATTTTTATTTTGACACTCCTATTACTCTGCAATGTTTAAAGTTTACAGTAATTTAATTGTTTAGATAAGATTGCAAAGATTTATTGTTCATTTGATACTGAGCCTTTAATTGAAATTTATTAGAGATTTACAAAGTATAAATAGTCCTCACTTTAGATAAGGTCACAAAACTGCATGAAGTTGAGTTAATAAAGCATTTATTAACAAACAGAGTAACCCCTAATACACTCTCAGAAATAAAGGTGCAATGTTTCTTTCTTTTTAAAAGAAACATAATTTTACCCAAAGAGTCCACTAAAGTACCTCAAAGGTCCATATTAGTGCCCAAATGTAACTAAAAATACCAATGAGGTACCATTATGGACCCTTCAGGTACAAATATGTACCTTTTGAAAAGGTACTGCCCCAGTGACAGCTCCTCTACCTTTTTTTGAGAGTGTATATGCCTGAATAATAAAATATTTAAATGTTGATTTGTTGAATAATCATTCACTAACTCATTCTGAATTATTCTAAAAGCCACCAATTTCTCTTAAATACAAATGGTTTGTAAATAAGGCAATACTTCATATAGTAATGAACAATTAACAAGTAATAAAGTATAAAAATATAATCATAAAGCACATTATAAATGTGCTTTTAAGTCAAGAATAGAGCATTTTAGCTGTATTTATAAACTGCTTACTAACAACTATGTAGAGTTAATACTTAAAAGATAATGAGTTAACTATTTGCTTCTGCTTAATAGATGATTCATAGTGGGTAGTTATTATAAAGTGTTACCTTATGTCTTTTTTTGTTGAAATATCATTTTGGATAATAACTATAACTGTGAACTAGATGTAAACATCTTATTCTATTCTATTCTATTCTATTCTATTCTATATATATATATATATATATATATATATATATATATATATATATATATATATATATATATATATATACAGTTGAAGACAGAGTTATTAGCCGTCTTTTGATTTTTGATTTTCTTTTTTTAATATTTCCCAAATGATGTTTAACAGAGCAAGAAATTAATCACAGTAAAAATTTTTCTTCTGGAGAAAGTCTTATTTGTTTTAATTCGGCTAGAATAAAAGCAGTTTTTATTTTTTTTAAAACAATTTTGGGACAAAATTATTAGCCCCTTTAAGCTATATATATATATTTTTTGATAGTCAACAGAACAAACCATCGTTATACAATAACTTGCCTAATTACCCTAACCTGCCTAGTTCACCTTATTAACCTAGTTAAGCCTTTAAATGTCACTTTAAGCTGTATAGAAGTGTCTTGAAAAATATCAAGTAAAATATTATTTACTGTCATCATGACAAAGATTAAATAAATCAGTTAATAGAAATAGGTTTCTAAAACTATTATGCTTAGAAATGTGCTGAAACAATCTTCCCTCCATTAAACAGAAATTGGGGAAAAAAATAAACAGGGGCGCTAATAAGTCAGGGGGGGCAAATAATTCTGACTTCAACTGTATATATAGTCAAAAAATAAATATCACATTTTCAGTTTCTTTATATTTATGCATTAAAACAATTGTTGTGTTATTCTAAATTTAAAAAAAAAAAAAAATCTAGAAGAAATCGATATTTCGTCACCTTGAAATTATGAGGTTCTGTCTGTGTTCTAAAGGATTTTGAGATATTGAGCTTCAAAGGTTTTGCAATCCACATAGCAAACGGTATTTGTGTGACAGTTCTCTTTTATACATTAACATGACAGACACTAAATGTTCTCTACATGTAAATTACCAAAACTCTCTTGTATTTGCTAATTGGGGTAAAAAAAATAAAGAAAATAAAATAAAAAACAGGGCAAATGCAGATAGAAACTTCAAATTCTAAAGTCATGTTCTGCTTGGAATTATAAGGTCTTGTCTGGCAGATCATTCACTGAAGCATTACTTTTCAAGTAATACTATCAGTCTACTTATTAATTTAATTAAAAAAAAATTAAATAGGGGTTTTAACAATATGTTGATGTTTACAGAAAGTTACATTTTTGCTTCTATAACATTTATTTAATGTTTTAGGATGAATATTTGTTTTCCTGTTCAAATTAAGCATGCAAGGCTGTGCTAAATATTTTGTCCAGTGCAGACGTTACTTCTAAGATGACGATTTAGAGAAAATATTGTCATTTTCTGGGGGAAAAAAAGCTCTGAATGATTTCTATTTGAAAGAAATCTTCACAGAATAAAAGAAATATTAACATTTTACTCAAAAGGAGAATTTGAGTGGTCACGTCACACACAGACACGCACTCGTATGCATGCAGGTGTGTGTGTATGAATTTACAGTTTGTGTGTTTAGATGTGTGTGTTTATATAATCTTTATTTATATTTTTTTGTGTGTGTCTGTGTATACTGTGCACATGCTAAATTATTATGCAAGCCAATTTTCTGATCACAAGCCATTTTGCCAATTCCAAACCGTATCAATCCTAACAATTAATTTAGAATCGAATCATTAAGAAGTGATGTAAAATTGTTAACGAAGCCTGAAGGTGAAAAATACCTTCTATTATGAGCTGCAGATTTATTAAGCAGGTTTGCTTTTGCAGGCACAATGGCCTAAAACAAGGTTCACCACAATGAATAGACAAAAATGCTTAAATTCCCACAAGAAAAGTGCAGAACTGCAGAAACTGAACTGCAACCTATACTTGGAGGCTCCAGAAGTGCTGCATTAAATTCATTTCTGAAATCTGAAAGAGTTTGTGTCAATGATTAGCTTCACACAGACAAAAATGAACAAGTGTTAAATGGAGGTGTTACCATAGCGATGCTTGCGATGTGGTCTATTTTAAGCCCCGGGGTTCATTATACAGCCTGAAAAAGAAACTGCAGAAAAGAAGCAATTCTTAAACTTGAAATTAGCATTTATTTGAACAAGGTTCTTTCCAAATTACAAGTCTTTCTTTTTCATTTCACAAAATATTTACAACAGAAAATCCCTCCATTTTATCCCAAGTATTCAGTTAGTTTCATAATGTTCATTGGTCAATGTTTTTTTTTTAAGTAGTACGTAAAATAAAAAATAAAAATTAAGCAAAAAAACTTCATTCCCTGTTTCAAAAGTCATTTTATAACTGCTTGCAGTTTTATTCTTTCTTTTTTTTTTTTGTCTACGAGTGCTCATAAACTCTTTTCCACATGCACTCAGTAACAAACAGGAAGCCTGAGGCTCCGTTGCTTGGAGCCGGAAACGGCGCGAAACACAAGGAAGAACAATTACAGCATTGACAGTAAATGCAGAGGCATCAAGTGCACCATGACCCTCCCGAACACAGGCCATCTCGTCTCCAGCTGACACGTTTGCGCTAAAGCCACCGTTGAGTCAGATATAATGAGAGGCCACGGCTAAACGAAAGAATGCCAAACCAACGCATCCTGCGTTTAACATACAGGATGTGTAGGGGAGCATTTCTGTGGCTTTGAAGGGCGTGAGAGAGAAAGACAGCGGCATCTGGATGAGAGCAGACTGAAGGCTCAGAGGACTGTGAACTCGGGTTGAAGGGCATTTCCATTATAAGCTGCATTCGGTAAGGGAAGGTCAAGCCAAATCAACATTGGCGCCAATGACAATGCTGTGCTGCTCCAGTTTCCGGGTCAGTTCAAAACGTGCTTGTGCTCTTTGTGAGGACATGAAACGTGGAAGGCTGGGAAAAATATACAAAGTTTTTGCTAACAAACAACAGCCATGTGATGTTAATGATAAACCTTTGTGGGCTACAATTCTCTCCTTTAGTTAAGAGCTGACTTGATAGTTTTACTGCGGACGTCAACGGTAATTGCCAAAATTTGGATCTTACAAAAGAAAGTGCAACATTATTGATGATTCAACCAACGAGCGTCTCGGTGAGTGCTATTTTGAGGAGAGCAACTTGCGTTCATGGTACAGAATCACAACACCATTAGTGCCTAAATAATGTGCAAAGCTATGCTTGACTTTGTGATATGAACTTTCTCGGACTTCATCCAAGATGATTGATTAGATCTGCGTACAAAAGAAAATGCCCCACATGCATCTCTCGGCGGAAAACAAAAAGACGCCCCATCTGGTGACTGGCAGCAGTCACTGGAGCAGGGGTTAACTGGTGACGTAATGCTTGGTGGAAGACTGGCCGTAGAGGCTATAGAAGTCAGTGTGCCTGTGCGACTGAGATGCGTCAATCCAGTCGCGCATGGACAAGCTCTGGAGAGACTGGGACATGGCCGGGGCGGAAGGCAGAGGGGCATGCGAGTACTCCTGCGAGCTCACCGGCCAGGGGAAGGAGCTGGAGCGTGGGTAGGGCGGGTGACTGCGGTGGTTAGACACGGAGGGCACCCCTGAGCAGTAACAGTTATCCACCGTGCACATCAGGATCTTGCGCGCTCCATACTGAGGCAGCTGGGAGCTGCTGCCATTTGGGTAATGGGAGTGTGGGAACACCGAGGTGGAGTGTGGTAAAGGTTGAGAGCCGGAGGCTGAGCTGCTGCTTCCGACATGTTGGCCGGAGCCGCACGGCCCTAGAGCTTGCTGGGAGGACTGACCTTCGCCTGGGGCAGAGCCCTGAGTAAGACTCAAGCACGGCTGCTTGGCGGACGCAGGACCTGACGAGGAGGAAGAGTCCATGTAGCTCGCGCCTGCTCGGCTGCTCCCGCTGCCTTCGGGGAATGCCATCGAGTGCCTGCGCTTCTCGCATAGGTATGCCGGAATACTCTGGAAAAAGTTAGCAGGAGCGCTGAAGGGGGCTGGAGATGGAAGAAAGCAAATGATATAAATGGTTAATTATTCAGAGAGAACAGCTGGATGCAGCATCAGATGGTTTTCTGTAATTAATGGTTAAATGGGAGTCATTTTGTTCATAGCTACCTTCCAGCATCTTGCAGAGATTCTTCTCTCGTTTCGAGATTTCAGACAGAAATAGTTTGGAGTTGAGGCTGCCCACTTTGTATGGTGACAGTGTGCTGCCCACGTACGACTGAGACCTGGAGTCCAAAACGAAGAAAGTTAGCCATGCAAGTTAGGGTTTACAGTTACACAATAACAGGACAGGAATGATGATGACTAATGAAACTCATAATAATGATTCATGTATGAAAACTTTGCAGTGACTCACCTGTCCATTAGTATTTTCACAGATTTTGTGTTCTGAAAAGTAAAAAGTAATTATATGTTAGATCAATAAGAGGGTTCCTAGACTGACAAAAAGCCCTGGAAGGTTTTCTTGCATAAGCAAATTAAGTTCTAATCTCACAAATGTGTGTCGTAAATGTGGTCTCAACAAGCAGTAATTACCATTTCATTAATAATTATAATATGTATGCTTGTGTGGATGGCCTACGCGTTGGCTCAGTGGTTAGCACTGTCGCCTCACAGCAAGAAGGTTGCTGGTTCGAGTCCCAGGTGGGTCTGTGTGGAGTTTGCATGTTCTCCCAGTGTTCACGTGGGTTTCCTCAGGGTGCTCTGGTTTCCCCCAGTCAAAAAGACATGTGCTATAGGTGAAATGATTGAACTTTACTGGCCGTAGCATATGTGTGTGAATCAGTGTGTATGGATTTTTCCCAGTACTGCAGCTGGAAGGGCATCCGCTGTGTAAAACACATGCTGGATAAGTTGGCAGTTCATTCCGCTGTGGCCACCCCTGATGAATAAAGGGCCGAAGGAAAATGATTGACTGAATGTGTGGAAAGCAGTGTCAAGATAGATTTAGATACAAATGCAGGCCATACCCAGAAGTGTTGTGTGTGGGATTTTGAACAATAATCTTGTTGTGTGAGTTTTGGCATGCTAAATATAGCAGGAAAAAAGCAGAACTGATCTTTTTGCCAGTCAAGAACCTAAAATAAGCCTGAATAAGAGTATTCAAGGACAAGATAATAAGGGGAGCCAGTGGAACATGCATGTCTGCAGAGGACTTTCTTTTGCTTCTGTTTGTTTGAATAGCTCAAAACCTTCTTTCCAGTTGATACACAGTTAAAGTCAGAATTATTAGCTCCCCTTTGAAAATTCTTATAACTCATATATATATATATATATATATATATATATATATATATATATATATATATATATATATATATATATATATATATATATATTTCCCAAGTGTTTAACAGAGCAAGGAAATTTTATTTTATATTTATTTATTTTTTTATATTTTTATCAAGGAAAGTTTTTATTTTTTTGTCAAAATTATTAGCCCCTTTAAGCTATATATTTTTTTCGATAGTCTACAGAACAAACCATCATCATACAATAACTTGCCTAATTACCCTAACCTGCCTAGTTACCCTAATAGTTAAGCCTTTAAATAAGCACTTTAAGCTGTATAGAAGTGTCTTGAAAAATATCTAGTCAAATATTATTTACTGTCATCATGGCAAAGATAAAATAAATCAATTATTAGAAATAAGTTATTAAAACTATTCTATTTAGAAATGTTGAAAAAAAATCTTCTCTCTGATAAACAGAAATTGGGGAAAAAATGAATAGGGGGTCTAATAATTCTGACTTCAACTGTATGAATATAGTACGCTAAACAGTATTTGCCCAACATTAAACCCTTTAAATCTCCTTCGATTAATTACCATAAATGTTTCTAAATACATATTTAGCTCCTGAAAAATGAACACCCAGATCTCTTTTTGAAATGCATAAATCTAAACAAGACCCAACCTGACAAAAACACTTCACATTTCCTGGATTCCACAGAGGTGAACTGTATATCCAGCAGAGGCCTAAAAATAATCATTTTCCATCATTTTTGTATACTATTACAATCTGCAATAAATCTGACTTCAGCCATGCAGAAAAATACTCTTCAATATCATCTTTCTCCATGCCAAAACACAAAAGCGCTGTTAAATATGGGGAAATGTCACCATTTATAACAACAAAAGACTGCGTGGTATTGACAACGGCAATAAAAGGCAGGTCACCTTCATAAAACCGATGTCCTCTGCCTTATCGAAAACCATCTGGATGGAGCTGAGCAGTTTCTTTGCCTCTTGCTGTTTCTGGTGAAGCTGCAGGGCCTGCGCAGAGTTCTCCTGGCAGAATTTCGAGTGGGCTTTATCCAGGACCTCCAGGGTCTTCCCCAAATCCTCCTCCAAGAGCTGCTGCATCTTCTGATACTGCAGCTGCACCTCCTCCTTCAGGTGCTGCACTTTGTCCTGAGGTTTAACACAAACACCAATTACTATGCAAGTCGTGCGCCGTCTTTTACGGAGGCTGAATCTGATGCGGATGATTAGGGAGAGCCACTGAGGAACTGGATTGGTTATGGTACAAGAACCAGGCGCAACCTTTATCACAAACCTGTGCAAATGTACTAATGTGGTCATTAATCACAGTAATAGGAAGAGCGTCCTGTATTAGTGCTTGGTTTTAAAGCTCGCAAAAGCAATGGGTTCAATTGCTTGGCTAATAATAATAATGTTATTTGGCTTGTCAGAGTTTCACACTTACTTCCATGAGACATTTGTCAGATTCTAGTTTGTAGAGTTGCTCCTCTATGTCCTGAACCCGGTCCTCGATCCGATCCTGCTGTTTAATCAGCATTTGCTGAAATACAAAAGCATAAGATTAGGCCAGTGTCTTTATTTAATTTAGGTTATAATATTTGATCATGTTGAGATAATCAGCTGATAGAAACATGTTGTAATCCATTAGAAACATATATAATGGTCAAGCTAGTGACATTTTCATAAACCATATTCAACCCTTCGCTTGTTTCGAAAGTATTTGAGTTTCTTCTGTTGAACACAAAAGAAGATATTTAAAAAAATGCTGTTTGATTGTCACAATACTGGAACTCAGTCATCAGTTCACCGAACTCACCGCTATTTACTGTGTAAACATCGATATAGAGACAATGGAGCATTTCAAAGTATGGCTGTGCGATTAATCGAAATCGAATCACAATTCAGATTTGAAACTTTGCATTTAGCTAATCGCAAGAAGCTGTGATATAAATATGTATTATTTATTTTCCCCCGCCCAGAGCAAACGCGTGAATGGCATCTGTGTGTGACAGTTTTACTAGCCAATTGAGTAAGCACATTCCTAATCAGAATTGTGCAACCAAACTATGCAGAATGCACACAAAAAACCCCAAACAAACAGGAAGGCACGGACGAGATGGATGATGGTGACTGCCGCTTCAGAAACATTAATAGATTCAATATCAAATTCATATCAAAGAAAAACAGGACATTAGTAATATGGGAATATTTTGGTTTCAAAGTGTGTATTTCGCGTGCATTCACAGCTCGCAATGCAGGTATGTGCATCGTCTGGAGTGACTGACTGTAATGTAATGTACTATACAAACAAAATTTGTCATTTCATTTTCATAGGACAGTTATATATAGATGCATTAGTTGCAGAATTTTAAAGCAGTTTAACGATTTAAATGCTTCTTATTGGATATTACATCATTCAATGCGACAATAAACATAACTGTACGGATAGTTTACGACCTACTAACTACAGTTTGCTTTAAGCACGTTGACAAATTTAGTAACAAACTAGCTATTAGAAAGAACTTACAAACAGCTGGTGCAACCCTACCCAGGATATAACTAATGCCATAACGCACTACCCTGCTAAAGACACGTGCCTTTTAATGCAGTGACCAAAGAGAGATTAACAAAACTCATCTAAATGCAAGATAGACACATCTCGTCTCTTCTGTCTTACACCTATTTTAGCCATTTTGGAGTACCACAGCTGTACGTTTAACATCATGATATTTTGTGTAGCATCTGTGATAATTATTTTGTTTTAGACAATATAAGCAACAGAAAGGCTCTTATCAGCCATATTAGTTTGCTGAGTGTTCTGTATATTTATAATGATTATCTTTTGTTTGTATAATAAGCTACACTCCCTAATTTGAGTTTAATTTATTTACAGAAAGGTAAGGTAATTTTATTTGTGCTTACTGTGTGCTCTAGGGAAAAACGGGTGTTTAATTTCTGAATATTTAAAAACAATTTTGAATAAATGTTTAGGTTAGTTAATATATTTTCAATTCACACTTCAGTAACACTCACTGCATTTCAGCAGTAAGAAGCTACAATACAGATTATTGAGCTGAAGCTTGACTTCAAATTCAATCGCAAATCAAATCAAATATCTGTCAAAAAAAATGCAATTAGATATTTTCCATAAATCGCATTGTCCTATTTCAGAGTCGCATCAATCAGCCGGTTTGTCTATAAGCTGGCATACAAGCGATCTGCTGTTGAATCGCGGCTTTAAAGTGCTCCAGTGTCCCTGTATCTGTGGTTACACTCAGTAAACAGCAGCGAGTTCGGTAAACTGATGACCTTCACAACCAATCACAGTCATTTTTGTTGAGCACGTGAACACAATGGCAAATCAGCGCTGTTTAAGAACGTGCTCAACAGTACTCAAATGTTCGTGGGAAATGGACATTTTAAAAATGTCAGTATCGGTTGGTACCGAATACCAGTATCGTGACAAACCTAGGACCAACTGACTTCCATAGTAATACTTCTTCCTGCCATGGAAGTCAATGGGAAGTCAAAATATCTTCTATTGTGTTCAGCAGATAAAAAAAAAAACACTCATAAAGGTTAAAACCACACAAGGCAGAGTACATGATGAAGGCAATTTCATTTTTTGAGTGAACTAACCCTTTATTGCAAGAGAGAGAGAGAGAAAAAAAAAAGTATGTGTCATTTCCAATATGCAATGCAATTTGTACGCAATTACACAATAATAAAAAGATTATGCAGAATCCGCAAACATTCTGGATGCTGTAAATGGTATGAAATTACCCAAACCAATTTTATTCCCCACCAAAATGTCACTAAAATCGCATGCCTCGCTAAAATGTCAATTCTACCACCATCATTTGTTATGGAAACATTGCATGACCTGATGTACAGTAGAAATGACTCTTTGGCGGCAAAAAAAGGCTTTCAGAACAAAAGAGGGACTGTGTTTGTAAATGTGTCTTGGACATGGTCAATAAATTAGTGTATAAAACTGGGGTTTCATGAACACTGAACAAAATGATTGACATCTAATTTCATGTACGCATCAATATGACACAGAAAAAAACCTAAAACTTCTGCTTTTAAATTTATTCACCAAATCTACTGCCATTCTCACAGTCTATTAATAAAAGCAATGAAGAATCACAAAAACATTGTGTTTTTTCTTTTAGAAAACCTGCTCTGCAAACTAAAATGTGCAAATATTGTTGCTTAATTATACATGAACAGAAAGATTCATGAATATTCAACATTTCACCCAGCCCAAAGATCACATATAATTGACAATGGGTTGAATTCAAGCTCTGTGTAGAATATTCAGAAAACACTGGATGCTGGAACACAAATACTGTATAGTTTAAGCTACAAACTCTGAATTCTTGATATAAGAAAATCACTTTCATTCTGTTGCCAGACAATAGCATCGATCAACAATCTAGTAGGCATGGGCTGGTATAAGATTGTGACTGTATGAAAACCTTGAATAAAAATATCATGGTTTCACAGTGCTGTGATTGCTGCTCTAAAATGTGTTTAAACATTTAAAATATTTTGGAGCAGTAAACGTCAAGCTAAATAATTCAAATGAATCATTAGCTGTGTTTTCATTCAAAAATGCATGACCTTTTTAATGCGCATTCTGGAAAATGTACAGTAAAAGTGTTTCCATCGCAGTTCATGTGCATTTTTTCTTATCAAATAAAAAGTTTAGCCTACTCAGTTATGCGCATGTTATTTATGTGCATTTTCAAAATTTATGCGCAACTTGTCGTTTCCATTAACCATTTTTTATGTGCATATCCAAAATGCTCATAAAAATAGGTGGATGATAAGTAGCTATTGATTGTGTTCATTAGTTTTAAAAACAGATTTATTTACAATTTTGAACAGCATCTTAGGATATCTTTTCTGCTGGAGATACTGTTGTCCTAAAAACAAAACGTTAATAAAAAAATAATAAAAAATGGTTTAGCAGAAAATTTGGCCATTTAAAACCTTGACTTTTCCAAACCGCGGTATACCTTGAAAACGGTTGTCGTCCCATGTAGGTATGGGCCGGTATAAGATTGTGACGGTATGATAACCTTAAATAAAAATATCACGGTTTCACGTTATTGTGATTGATGCTCTAAAATATGTGAGTAAAAAAACTAAAACTTTTTCCCCTTTAAACACAATATATTTTATTTAATGAAACATTTAAAATATTTTGGAGCAGTAAACACGTCAGGCTAAATAATTAAAATGAATTCATAGCTATGTTTCCATCCAAAAATGCGAATTAACTTTATGCGCAAAACTGGATTAACACATTAAAGATGTGCAAATAAAGCAGCGTTTCCATCCAACGAGTCAAAGTGAACAAAAACATCACTTCTTGATTAACTGGCGCCAAATATCAACAGTAAAAACAGAATTTGCTGTGTTAGGAGAAGCTGCGTGAATCTTTTCTTCATTTAATAAATGACTTGCACCTTAAAAGACAAACCTGACATGCAGTGAATGCTCGTGGTGTTTAAAGGCGTGAGATGTGGAGCACACACGCTCTTGATTCTGGAGGTCATTATAGATGTAATAACACTAATACCGAAACGGTTAAGGCATTTTAGAATGACCAAAATAACATTTTAGATGTTTTACAATGTGCTCAGCCTGCTGCTTTTTCCATTCACACACATTTTTAACATCACATGATCTCTTATAACAAAATCACATGACCTTTTTAAATGCACATACTTGAATTTGTTCGGTAAAAGAGTTTCCACCACAGTTGATGCGCATCTTTTCTTATTGAATAAAAAGTTTATCCTACTCAGTTATCCTACTCAGCATGTTTTTTTATTCACAATTTCAAAATTTATGCGTATCTTGGCATTTCCATCAACTGTTTTTTATGCGCATATCCAAAATGTGCATTAAAATAGGTGGATGGAAATATAGTTACTGACTTCTGCTGTCTTCATTAGTTTCAAAAACACAGTTTTTTTTAAAACATTTTAAGACGCCATCTTTGGATATCTTTTCTGCTGGAGATGCTGTTGTCCTAAAAATAAAACAATGGTTTAGCAGAAAATGTTGGCGTTTTTAAAACCTTGACTTTTCCCAAACCACGGTATTTACCTTATTCTACGCCTACGAGCGGGCACAGTCATTTGAATCTTTTTGGCTCGAGACTTCCTGTCTCATTAACTTACATTTATTTTTAGACGTTAAAAACAGCTCGTTATGCTGCTTGATGTTGCAAACTGATATTTTCTTATTATAAGATTCTACAGTATCTGTATAATCATGCAAACATTTGTTTGTGAAGCAAGTAGTTTGAACGTTTTCTGCTGTTTATTTTTTCGAGTCATTTCTCCTATACTGTAGACGACTGAATCGAAAGTTCTAAAACAAATTGCAAAACGAGCGCACTTCCGCATTAAAGAATAGAGTCAATACCTTGAAAACGGTTATCTTCCAATGCCTACAATCCAGTATTTATATAAACCAGCAAATTCTTTCAAAAACAAATCATTTCTACATCATAAATCTAAGAATGCGCCACTAAGAGACAAAAAGACAAAAAGTTCTGCTGTGATGGCACGAAATGTAACTTTGCTAACTTCCTGTTCCTTTCTCTTTCAATGAATGCAATTGTCAAGGCCCCACAGAGAAGGGCTGGTGGCTGAAGAGGAATTTCAATTATTTTCCTTTCATATTCAACGGCAAACAAAGGGGGGACAGAAAAAAAAACGCAATCAACAAACGACTGACAGAAGTTCAGTGGTACCTTAGGAACAAACCAAATTAGTTTTAATTAAACAAACGCCTCATGCGAGAGGCAGTCACTAAAAAGAAGGTGGGGGTGCTGTCATGGCAACAAAGCTCTTTTTTTCATATCTGTATATTCAGAGGGGAATATGAGGGAGGGAAAAGGAGGAGGAGAAGGAACGACAGCATAGAGGAGAGCAAAGAGAAAGAAGGAAGGCTCATTTCACACCGTCTTTCCCCATTTTGTCTTTGTCTGCGTCCAAGGCAGAGACAAATCGTGTTGACCCTGCGAGTGTGTATTTTGGAGCAAAGCTCTATAATGAATGCAGGCTAGCTCACCGATAAAAGTGCTTCCTGTAGAAAGAGGACAAACCTCATCCACATCAAGCCACTTACGCTCTAAAGCTTACAGGCCAAAAAGTGGGCTTGCGCTGGCAAAGTTGACTGAGGGCACGTCTAATTTAGCGTCATGACGTCAAATTGTAATAACCTTACATGAAAGCTTAAACAAAACAGGTATTCCTTGGTGAAGTCAATTTTGGTATTTTCCTTCATGTTCAGGAGTAACGGCATTATATAATTCTGATTCATCTCAGCTACAAAGAGTAAAAAAAACACACACACACACACACACACAAAGGGAATCAATGTCAGTCTTCAGAATGCAGCAATACAGGACAAACGCAGGACCCGGAGACGGATGCGCTGCAAACTAATGATCTTCAATCACACCGTCTGACAGACGCTTATAACAGCTGACTGTACCCTCTGTGCCAAATGAACTACATCAATCACTGCCGATGATACGCGCAGCCAAACCTTTTCCTTTCAACAGATTTTGTTTGCTGAGCGTATGACAAATTGGATCCACAATCACATGGTGCTGGGTAAACGGAGTTGTTTTCGCGGATCTCGCTTGTGCATCAACCGATTTTCTTGTGGCGCAAATCCATTGCTTAGATTTGGATGCAAGGAATTGGAATTGGCGGTGAATCAGATTCATACAGACTACAGTAACCTTCCATCATTACCAAAAACTATTACATATTTACAGCAAGATGTAGAATATCCGTCTTGGCACAGCTGGAGATCGCTTTTCAGAGCCAATAGCTTGTTTAAAGCCATATGGAGGTGATTTCCGTTAAATTACTGCAGTAATTCAGAGGGATACCTCACCAACAAAAGGTATAATTATTTATTTAGCATCACGTCCTCTGTGAAAACCTATTTGTTTGTGGAATACAGCACAATCCATTCTGAAACGTGTTTTTGTCCTTACAATAAAAGTGACTGTGTTCCACGGTCACTTTTGGATTTCCCTGATTTTCAATGTAGGGACAAAAGATGTCTTTAAATGCTAATTATTTTTTAGTTCTTGTTCTGCAGTAGGCCATTAATAATTTTGTGTTGGCAATGAATTATGCATATTTTCAGGTAGGGTTAAGCGATGTCGACCAATTTGGCATTGTATGATGTCAAACGTAAACATCGCAATGGACAATGGCATCATCGTCATAGGTGACATTGAATTAATTATTTATGAATAATTAATTAATCCATAACGAATGAATTATTTGTAGCCTATCGTTTCAACTACCTGACCTGTATGGTCTTTGTTTTACCAATAACCAAATCATAAATAAATAAAGAAAAATTACACACAAATTACTATCTGTCAATCACCTTTTTCCACAGGATTCTGGCATGAATAGGCAGAGTGATCTGTGTCGTTATAATGGCGACGACAAACTTGGTTGGTAAAAAAGGTGCACAACCAAAAGGAACAAACCAACAGTATCTGAGGTTTTCACTAAAATTACTAAGTACCAGCGTGAAAATAAAAGATTGAAGCAGTGTACTGACACTGACACATTACCTGATAGATTCAAAAGACAGAAGAGTTGTTAGATGAATTAATTAGGATTAATTAAATATCATGTTTAACAACTATAGTGAGACGCGATCCAGCAATACATCCTTGATAAACTGTCTGACATGCACTGCTCTCTGGGGTTTTGTGCTCAAAGTACCCGCTGACTGTCTGGAGCTCAGAGTGTGTGTGTGTGTATGTGGTCATGTGATGTGCGTTTTCACTAGTATAGTGCGGATAGAGATCTTTTTAGAAACACTAGGCGAAACGACAGTGTGAATGTGGATCATTTTCGTTCTAAAATGCCCTTTTAAAACTAAGACGTATTAGTGTAAACGGGGAATAAAACCTGGTTTATACTTTTGCGTCAAGTAATCAGCGTGACCCACGGCGCATGCAACACACGTAGATGTGCATTCATACTTCTGTGCGCTGTTTCTATTGCTCTGCAATAACACTTCCGAAATGCTAGCTGGCAGTGAGGTGTTTATGCTCCTTTGTGTCGAGTTTCTTCGCTGGTGTTTTGTTTTGTTTTATTTTGAACGCTTTCTAAATGTACAAGTGGTTCAAACTCGCTCATTTTGAGGCAGTAACAGGCGGATGTGCAACAACTTTAACGATAAGGTAAACACAAAGCAACAGTCTCCCTCCGGAGCTACTTGTAAACAGTCACTCCAACGGACTCACGCAGCTCTTGGCCCCACCCACACTCATCACCGCTTCCAAGCCGACCAATCACAGAGCTTGCACAGTTACATTTTTTTGAGAAGTGCACGTCAGCGACGTTGACGCCCACGGTGAGGGCTGAGCAACCACGCGTAGGCTGCGCTGTAGCATAAGCGTGCGCTTGACACAGAAGTATAAATCAGCCATAAGTGTGTATTTTTTGTGAGTGACTTGCTGCTATGATGGGGGCGGGGCGAAGAATCACGATGCCAGCTCAGCATTGTAATGTCTATCGGCCATCAGCGATGAATGATGGACTCGACCCAACCCTACTTTGAGAAATCACTGTTATTTAGTTTTTTTTCATATAACCTTGGTTTAAGCATGTTATTTTATTTTCTTGTATTTACTTACAATGAGTGATAAATGTTATTAAAAAATAGCTCAATCGTTTATTTTAATGAAATGAAAATTAATAACATTTATATAATTTAAAATGATAAAAAAAAAATTTTACTAAATAAAAATTAAAAAATAGAAACCACATTATTATTAGATTGTCAAACCATGACAACAACATTAATTAATAATCACGTCTTGTTCTGCAGAAAGAAATTACATATGAATAAATACATTTGAATTTTGGATGAGCTGCCCCAATAAACTGCAGTCTGCATTAAATAGCCTACAAGGAATCTGGTGTTACGTTTGGTTTCTTAAAACACAAGTTCACCATCTACTCCTTTACGGATTAAATCGGTGTTTATCTACATCAACAATCAGGAACAGAAGAAAGGTCAAGAAGCAGAAAACCGCATGGAGACAGAGAATGTCTTTGAAGCTCTAGGATCTAAGACCATGGCCTAATTGTAGTGACTGATGAGCTCGGGCTGCCGGCAGAAGCCTGGAGGCTGGAACCTAATACCTCATGGCAGCGGTGCTGGCTTGCCATCCAGGACGGACCTCTCTCAAGGGGGAATGGGGGTAGGGTGCTCAAAATCACTGTCATTTCATACCAGCGTCTCTTCCGCCAAGGTCAGATTGAACAAGGCAATAGCAACCTTGCCCTCAGCTACAGCCCCAGACAGAGCCATTTTGCCTCACAGCAGATGAACAGGGAAGGACAAATGAAGATGGTAAACTTAAGATACACAAACACCAGAGAAAACCAACTCTGGAAATCCCATAGCATCCCCAACAGGATTGGTTTTGGTTTCAGATAGCTTGGGCAACACCATGGCAAGGGTTTGTTTTGTAGATTGATTGGTCATTGCGTATCACAGAAATGAGATAACTGATGGCATTTGGATTTATATAATCAGCATGAATGGAAATTATGATGACAGCATGCTGCTGAATAAAATCAGAGGCCGTGCTTGACTTCTTATAAAGCTACTGTGAGGAAAAATGGACAAATTTGGTATAAACTGAGAACAAATGTTTGATATTAGTAGTAAATATAAAAGTTTAAAACCCCAACCCTGGTATTTTTATGTGGTTTATAAGTTTCTAGATCTTTAAAAACAAGCAAATGTGGGTTGTTTTGTTGCAGGGGAGTCTGGAAAATGCAAGAGCTTGTTAAGGGTAAATTAAATCCAAATCTGGCCTTTTCCCTCATCTGTGCCACAGAAAATAAGACTCATCATTAAATTCTCCAGTCGCAGTCCTCCCCCTCCCCAAAACGCCATGCAAGGATGCACCTGTGCTGGGAAGATAAGCCCAGAGGAGAGCTTCGGTATTGTTTGCAGCTCTACCCAATTGTTTATCATTCAAATGGAAGAAAAAAAAAAAGGGGGGGGAAGGGGAAAGAATAGTTAGCAACTACAACTGATAAACCTCGCCAGCTCCTCCGCCAAATCCATAACCTTTAGCTTGAAGTAAAACAAAGTAGTTGTGGCCACTTACTCTGATATCGTTACGCCTGACTTCGATATCGCACACCGCGTGGCCGTGGTTGGTAGCACATCTGGAGAAGCAGCAGTACTGGCAGACAGCCACATGCTCGGTTTCACAATGATACAGTCTGTACTCGTCATGCTGTGGACAGCTCCAGGCCCGAACATCTTCGGCGTCCACCAGTAGGTGTCCAGCATTGGAAGAGGGTTGTTGGAGATGGGTCTGTACATGGGAATGACAGCAGGGTGCATTACACCTGAGGCAAACCTTCTGGGCTTGAAGGGGGGGTCCACGTCGGCACAGAATGCAATGCAACACCGCTGGTGTCTTCTCCACATTTAATGCGTTGAACTTCTCCACAATGTTGGACAGCTTGTGGTTCTTCTCCAAAGCTGGCTTTTGAGTGTAGGCGTTGTTGCATTCGGGACAGCGAACCATTCCAGCATCTTTAGACCAGGCCTCATTGATGCACATACGACAGAAGTTGTGTTTGCAAGGGAGCTGAACTGGCTCGGAAAACACATTCAGACAAATTGGGCATATGAGCTCTTCCTCCAGACAGTTCTTCCAGTTCTCTGCCATCTTTAAAACAGCATAAACAAGCGCTGATACCTGAAATGGGTGGAGTGGGAACCACAAGGGCCCTGCTTTCTCCCACAAACCTCAACTTGGTGCCAGCGAGAGTATGAACACTCCAGGAGAGAGTACTTTTAGCACACTTTAGCTCAAGGCAACATCATTACACCACCCACTTCTTCATTCGTTCGTGTCAACTGTAGGCGTTGCGAGAATTGCCACAGAGCTAAAGTGGACTTTTTTCGGTCTTGTGACTTTAAATGCCAACACACCGTTTCATATTCTACATGTGTGGCCCTCCCACTAGTTATCTATGAATAATCCAGTCTGCTGACGACCAGCTTGACAGCTCGTCGTTGGCTAGGGCCGTTTTTCGACAACAGCCTCGAGCGAGAGACTAATAAAAGCTTTAGAAAGTAAACGATAATTCTCACGTCAAGGCGTCTGTTGTGTTTTACGACATAGCATCACACAGACATGGATTTTACTCCCAAAGAGGATTATAAATGTCCTGCTAGGTCTCCATACAGACGAGCGTTACACTTTACGTTAAAATAAAACGTATCTCACATCCACGCAGCGTGCTTTTATATTCACATTTCATAGAAAATAACGATAATAACCAAAGCAGTCGGGTAATTCTTACACATATGTGAATACTGCGCGCATACTAGACTTCCCCCCTCATTATAACAAAGGAACACAGAGTGAACATACACTGGTATGTAACCAAGTCTAGAGAAAACTGGACTGCCAAGTGCATTCACTTTAATCTCTTCGGACGAGAAAATGAAGTGTTGTTCCGATTCACGTCCACAAATAAACAGACAGCCCTTCGTGTAAAAGCGAAACGGTTCACGCTACTGGAGTCTGTCATCTGCCATCTTGCGTCCCTCTTTAAAAATGAAAAAGAAAACGTCTCCGTTTGGCCCCCATCAAGCCTCTCTCGCTTTAGCGCTTGAAAGAAATCAAAAGTGGATTTCTGGCGTGGGTTTCATCGTTGTTTCCGAATCCAATCGCGATCAGTTCCTGAGAGCGTGCATCCATGGGTCGATCCTGAAAACGGGCCGATCTCACCATGGTATTATTTATGGGTTTTTTCCCCCTCTTCTCTCGTTCGGGCTTTGATGAGGGTTGGAATGCAGGGACAGAAAAGAGAGTTTCAATACACGCAGAGCTTCACGCTCGCTCCGCCCCTCTCAACGACCACTCCGCCAATCACGTGACTCATCTCCGCTTTGACATGAAAAAGAGGAGGGGCCATGAGCAAAGAGGCGGAGTAACATTTAAAAGGGCATCTCCATTTGGGGAATAACAAGAAGATTTTGGGGGATTTTGAATCATTGAAGTGGCTTGAATCTTTTGAATTCCTTCACTTGTTTATTGATCAGGATTTTTAAAAGAATTATGTATATACTCTTTATGTTTTATTGCTTTAGCTATAGCCTTAAAACTTAAAATTGTTCTGCTTAGGGAACAGATTGTTAACAACTAGTAAACCTTTAAAGGCAGACTTGTTATTTGTAGTTGTGATAGTTTTGTTGAAAACAGTCGTTTTAAAAAAATTAGAGGGACATTACCCACAAATGACAATCCGCTTGTTAAGTGGTGACGTGTTGGTGACGTATGGCGTGCTGTTTCCGGGTCCAAGCCGGCACTCATTTGAACTGAGAAAATATTTGTTTATGATCACTTTTTATTCATATCACACATTAAAGTGAATTTTATATAAAATCATAGTGTACACAACAATCTCTGGACTTGCTGCATCACAAATACCAACATTTTAACAATTTCTAAAAAAATTAATCAATTTCTGGACCTCGGATATTAGGCATAATATATATATATAGCGATCGAGATTTTTCGAAAATATTACAGCGCTTTGTAAACGTTTATTATTACCATTTGATAAGTCTCCCTATACAGTTTATAAGAGCGCTTTGACCCGGGAGCCACATCGCGAGTTTTCACACTTAACAAGTGGATTGTGCCATCATGTTCTCACCCTTGAATTTGTTTCAAATCAGATTTTTTTCTTGTCTGTTGAACACCAAAGAAGACATTTAATAATGCTGAAGTACTGTAACCATCAACTTTCTATGTATTTTATTCATACTTTGGATGTTAATGGTTACAGGTTTCCAGCATTGTTCCTCAGCTTTGCATTTAAAAATGGGCGGTTTGTTTGTTTTCGATCTCCTGGCTTGTGTGAGTTACGCTCTAGTAACATATCTCTGTAAACCAATAGCGTTAAGCTGCGCATGGCTGTGCTTTTTGGTACCCTTTTGTTATGCTAGGTTCTTTTTCGAAAGGGTGCCCAAAAAGTGGTATGGTACAGTTTGCTTTTTGGTACTTTTTGACAGTGGAAACCACCATAAAAGTGTACCGAACCGTACCATATCGCACCACTCAGTGGAAACTGGCCATTTGTGTTCAACAGATCAACAAATTCTGAATGGTTTGGTCAATTAAGGGTGTGTAAATGATTGCACAGTTTTTCTTTTTGGGTAAACTATCCCTTTATTCAAAAGAAGGTAATGATTCACACTCAATTGATTCGTACTGTTTTTATTTTTACTTTTTCTTATATTTCTTACATTTCTTACATAAACTATCCCTTTAATAGCAGAATTCATGCAGAATAATGTACATGTACATGTATCATGATGTTCATTTATAAACTATCAGAAATAAAGGTACTAATCTTGTCACTGGGGTGGGTACCTTTTGAAAAGGTACGTTTTTGTACCTTACAGGGGCACATATGTACTTTACAGGTACAACTTAATACCTGAAAAGTACAAATGTGTACTATCAAGAAACAAAAGTGTACCCTAAAGGTACAAAACTGTACTTTTAAGGTACATATATTTGTATCCTTTAAAAAGGTACCACCTATTTCTGAGAGTGTATAGTTCATGTTCACTTATATAGTCAATTATTTTTGCAATTATTGCTCTTTGTGTAAATGGCTGCAAGATGTCCCAAGTAGGTGTCAACTGTCTTTTCTGTGTAATAAGGCAGTCATCATTAAGTTGTATTGTCTGCAAAGCTAGAAAGCCCTCCAATAGTATCTGGCTGCAGATTTGCACATGCAAGCTGAGACATGCAGCATCACTGTGAGGGGCGGGGTTAGGTGCATGCATTAAAAGCTTTGGATGCTGTGTCAGCTTGCATGTGTACCCAGTCTGCAGCCAGACCATTTTCAATCCTTCACTGGCTTTAAAAGAACAAAATTATATTTAAAAAACAAACTTATATATATATATATCAGTTTTTTAAAGGTGGACAAAGTCCAACTCTTTAGTCTTGGTCTATTTGCCAATATGTACACCAGAGTGCACTTGTATTCTCACCAGTACTCACCAATACTGATAAATTCTGCCTCACACCTATAGAGCACATTTTCATATTTGCTGAATTATCCCAAATCCCAAAAGTCAGATTTCCTGGTTTAATGCTTAATGGACATTAATTATTGCAGAAAATACATATTAAGAAAAAATGCTTAGCTCACCATTCTGATTACATCGACTGAACTTCAGTAGGTCCCACAGCGGTTGTTGCCCTTTTAAGAGGAACTTCGACATCACCAAAAACATGATCAGTTCAGGGAATGGGTGAGAGGGGGATTACGGGGATTTCTTCAAGCTGTAATGACATGAAGTTTGTTAAATTCGCTGACATAATCCAGTCCTTCCCACATAGGAAACTATCCGACACATGACATGCACAGTAGGCTACAGACAAAAAGTCGCATGTATTCAATTCATCCCCTTCACACTCTCGTGGTGTACGTTTTATTAGAAGTGTGTTAGACTAGTAAACACATGCATTGTTGTCATTTAACAATCTCAGTCTTCTAAACAAAGAGACGGAAAGCTGAAGCTCTCGATGCCTCTTTTCTGTATGCTTTGTCCTCATGGGAACTAATTTTACTTAAGTAAGACGAAACCTAGACCCATACCTAGTCATGCGCTGGATTAGCTAATTTTTTTGCCATCGTCCTGGTTTATATATGTTGTGTAGTGTGTTGTCTGTATTTATTTGGGCCTATATAAAAGTGACGCACACTATCAATGCCACAGCACGCATTCAATAAATGAAAAGAGGTTTGTATAACATAAAATATTGTCAGACATATTTAGAAAAAGAAATATTATGAAATGATGAACATTACACAACTATATTTAAGGACACAGACTGCTGCAAGTACTAATTATCTTTCATTTCAATGGTTATACTATGCTATATCATTCTTATCACTAGCTTGTATCTTTATTTTGCGTTTGTCAGCTAGTTTAAAGGTCCCATGAAATTAAATTTTTTTAGACATCAGTATCAGTATTAGGATATCTTTAAGCAAGTGTGCTCCAAAACTGTGACAAGATTCGCGTTTAGAAGATATAAAACCGATGGAAACGTGTAAAGCTTGTAGTTTGTCACTTCTTTCTAAATGGATCAATGGTTTTATTCAGGTCATACTTCAGCTTCTCATCAAATCTTGACCAATCAAATGCTGTCTATCTGACATGCCCTGCCCCTTTCAAGGATTGTTGCTAGATCAAATATGGTTGCAGCCAAAAGTTAACGAAAATGATTTATATTATTAATTACATTTCTTATTAATTGTATTTGATTATCGTCTACGCCCACCCAACCCTGAACCTGACACAGTAATGAAAAAACAGTAGTTGTACCGAGTATTATCAATGTTATCAATTGAATTACCCAATAAATTGTATTTTAAATGTCTACCCCTACCCTAACCCTAAACCCAACTGTCACAGAACCCCTTTAACCCCTTCCAAGACGCTTCTCATTTGCTTTTTATTTGATGCGCTTGAGCTCAACCACTCTCACTGGCAGAGTGGTGATAAAACAAAAAGCTATTGGCTGTTTTTTTAAAGGGGAGGAGCTACACTATGTCCTACCGTCTCTTTGTTTTTCGGTCAAGATTACGTCAAACATTGAAAAACACTTCATGAGACTTTTAAATGAATGAAAAATTCATTAGCGCATGATGATGAACAATTATTTAATTTGTATTTACATTTTATTGTTACCAAAGTAATGAGAAGTATTAAAGCAAACGCTTGCTTAAAATTAACTACAACATTTAAAATGATTGCAATTCTACTCGACTCGGACATCAAAATCTGACATCTTGTATTTTACCAATGTACTTCATTGTGTTCATTAGTATTACACATTGTGCGAGTTATAACAAAAAAAAAGTGTTTAGATCAGAGGAGTCCAAACTTGTTACTGGAGGGCCGGTGTCTTGGAGAGTTTACCTACCCTAATGAAACACACCTGAACCAGCTAATAAAGCTCTTACTAGAAACGTTCTGGCAGGTGTGTTGAAGCAAGTTGGAGCTAAACTCAGCAGGACACCGGCCCTCCGACACCAAGTTTGGACACTACTGTTTTAGATAAATGAATTTAGAGACGAAAATGGATATTTCAGGAATTGTAAGGCAATAACATCACACTGAGACAAAAAACAACATTTATTTGCAAGCTAAATGTCTTGAACAATGGGCAAAAGCATTAAGAAAACTGTATATTCTAATGCCGAGTTCAGACTGCATTTTTTTAGTCCCGATTCGGACGCACCGAAATCACAGGCACATTGGTGCTCGTTCACGTAGTAACAAATCACACAGTGTGAACTATCAAAGACCCGATCTGAGAAAATCGCAGAGGAGTCAACGACACCCTTGAGATGTTTGGCATGCTAATTATCTGGAGCTATTCATGCAGTGTGAAATGTGTTCTGATGATAATGACATCAGCGATCACCTACAGCCAGGGCCGGAGTGGGACTGCTTTTCAGCCCTGGAGTTTCAAGCCTCAGACCGGCCCACCTCAGTTCACGACTGACTATATTAAAATAAGGACATTTCCAATTCAGTTTCTAATTACAATATCACGTTTTTTTTTTTAAGAAAACAGCTGCTTTAGAACTTCAAATGTTCAACAACTCTAACAGTATTATATGTCTTAACAATAAAAATGAGAGGGAAAAAAAAAAAAAAACATACTCAGGTGAGATTCAAACCCCGATCGGTGGCGTCGTAATCTAACGTGCTAACCACTGGACCACAGCAGTCGTAGTTGAATCACCAGTAATTTGCAGGCTACTTATATATAAAAAGAGCAGAGCTACGGTGAAATAATGAATAAGAAGACTGGTCAAATAAATTAATTAATTTAAAAAGTGTGACTGATGAGAGCAACAGATTCTGAAGCTGGGGACACCGGCCCTCGCGGCCAAAAAACGGACCGGCCCACCGGGAATTCTCCCGGTCCTCCCGATTAGCCAATCCGGGCCTGCCTACAGCCAATGAGAGAGCAGCATCTAGTATGAGTATCTGCAGGCCAGTGGGAGGTTGGGGGAGAGCACTTATTTTCAGTCTATTTGGATCTAAGAAATGGAGGAAAGAATTGTGTAAATTTGGCAGCAGCACCCGCATATGAATGATGTGTCATCTGAGCAATATCACAACCAGGTGGGGAAAAAAATTAAAGTTGAGGAAAAGTGGCTTCCAAAGCCAAATGAGCAAAATAAGTAAATTTTCTACCCCATTAAAGTCTTCCTACTTATGTAGTTAATAACAAAAGATAAACTACGTGACCTCGAGTTGTTTCAATGTCACTTCTCACATGTGTTTGGTTGTGAGATGTAGTTTGTGGACCAAAACAAAGTTGTCTGTGATTCTTCCTATTGTAAAGTCATGCAGTGTAAATCCCCCTGTCATCAATCCATCTTGCAGTGTAAACACTGCACCAATGAAACACTAGCCCAGAGAGTCATGCAGTGTGAAAACATCTGTGACACAACTACTTTAAAAATCATGCAGTCTGAACTCGGCATTAGTCTCGGTCACATTTGTAAGACATAACTCAGATGTTTCAGAAAATAAATAACCGATATGAGTAAAACATCAGATGTGCCTACTCTGCATCAACAAGCAGTTGAATGAACAGACGATTAAACCATCTAAGGCCTAAAATACATTAATATTAAGACGTTTCGTCGTGTTTCATATATTGTTATGTGCAACGATGACACAGAAACCGCAATTTCACCAATGTCTCATCAACGACACCTTTTCTTAAAAGTTAAGAATACAAATTTGGCAATAAAAATGTACTTTGTAAAACCTTGATACAAAACTATTTCTGCTACTTTAAGAGGTCAATCTGTATTTAATGTCAAACTGGCCATTTAATTAATAGCCGTCTTCAAATCTCAGTCAAATTGACAACCCTAAAAACACAAATATAAAGAGAACTCGGGCATTCGGTACAAAAATATGTTAGTTATACATGCTAGTGCAACACACAGTCTGCTTTTGGGTTCATCTGAACTATAACATACATACCTTTCAGTATGAATAATGACTGATATCAACGAGTAACTGTAAAAGTCATAAAACTGGCCACGACACAACTCTTCACACCCGCCTGAACGACAAAGATAGTATCAACAAACATCCATGCGTTTCCAAAACCAACATGTATCCCTGGAATACCAATGAACACTTACTGTAAACGTGCCCTTTCTTAAAACACAGTGTGTATTGTCACATACAGACAAGGGAGATGCAAACAGATTTGGCTTGATTATCAACCCATTAAACTACATACTTGACGGCAGTTGGTTGTATTGATCAATATGGTCCCAAAACCTCAAGACTCTCATATCCCTATTCATATTTGGTCACATACTCAATATAAATACCCAAACGTAGCAAATTAAGGCAGGTTATAATAAAACGGGACCATACATTCTGTGTTGAGTGTCTGCTGCAGTATTTGGCCTCACTATTCTCTACTGAAGGTCTGGTTTTGGGGAAATGCCCGCTGCTCATCTGTCTTTTTCTTTTTACAGGAGTGTTATATAGCCTTGACATCTATGAGGTGGCTGTGTTGGGCACTCTGTCGAAGAGTCTTGATGTTTTGTAGCCTGCGCCCATGCAGAGTGAAGCGAGACCATGCCAGCAGCTGAAGAAGGGCACAGGAAATGGGCACAAACACCAGCAGGTAAAAGCAACCCTGACGTAGCGGCACGGGAAGCGCAGGAGCTGCAATCGGGGCTTCTGCTACAGAGTTCCTCTCGAAGATGTCATATCCTGGAGAAAGAAATAAATCACAGAGAGAATGAGGAGACTTGAAGATACAGCAAGTTTATGCGAGATGAGGAAATCGATACTGTGCTTCAGCAAGGAGGCAGTTTTTATTATGGATGGATGGGCTTTATCGGACTTCTTTTGGACTGCTGATACACTGCAAAAAAAGAAACATGATTTTAAGGCAACTTGCTGCAGTGCTTTTTTAGTTGTCCCAACTTAAATCGAGTCAATTGCAGTTATTTGGTTAAAAGCCGAGACAGATCAAAAAAGCCGTGCAGCAAGTTGCCGTACAATATTAAGTCAACTTTATTTTTACAGTGTACAAATCAGCAGCCCGCTACTCACCAACCTGTTTTCATGGAGCTAATAATATGCCAAAACAATCTGAGTTTAAACTGTGCTAATTTGAATTATTAACAATTGTAATTTAATAAAACAGAATATTTAAATGCTATTAAAATCATGTTTTGAATTTTTATTTCTTAACTTGAATATTGAACATCTGAAATTAAGGACAACTCATTTTTTTTAGTTTGATATTTAAGTATTTTTTTACTTTCTGAATTCATAGATTGCAGATTTTGGGTTTGTAAAAATACAGTTTCAAATTTTCAAGATTAAAAAATTTGGAGGATCAAATTCAATATTCTAAAATTCAGATTGTGAAATTCAAATCGAGCAGAAAGTACAGTAGGTCAGGGGTGATCAACAAGGAAGAGTAGACGATCACCGAAAAGTCAAATGCAGATGATAGAATATTGAATATTGTACAACATAGAATATTGTAACAAATAGCATCTTAAGAAAGTTAAGGAATTTAAATTCAAAACATGATTTTAATGGCATATAATATTCGGTTTTAGTTAATTACGATTGCTAATAGTTCAAATTGAGATTGTTTTGGCATATTATTAGCTCCATAGATTTCACCAAGTAGGACATGTTCCTGAATTCACATCTATGTTGATCCTGGAACAACATTCCAATCAGCCAATTAGAATTAAGAGATACGTTTTCCGTTTAGGCTTAGGGCTACGTTTATGCACTTCTACATGATTGTAATCCAACTACTATTATCCTCTGATTTTGGGAATAGTTTACAGCTATGGTTGGGTTTACGGGAAAAGAATAGGTATAGATTACATTTCCAAACAAAAATGATGTTCCAGGCTTAACATAGGTGTTAATCCAGGATCGCATCGTGCTTAGCAAAATCATTATGTATTACTTCAACCATTGTAGAGCTGGAAAAGGCCAGAAAATTATTTAAATTACTCTAATTGGATTTGACTGACATAAAAAAACTTGTCTTCAAATTGAGTAAATCATAGAATTTGTATTTTTGAGTGAACTAACCCTTTAAATTAAAAGATCGAACTAGTAAAAACATTTAAAATGTTTTTAAATGTTATTATTATTTTTTTTTTTACTTTTATTTACCGGTTGTGCATCCTTACAGATATTTTTATGATTTTTCATTTTGTTTACTATTGGCTGTATTTATGCAAACAGTATAAACGTTAATAATAAGGTTGTTTTTTATTAATCTTTTAATAGATCACACATTTACTTTCAGAAATCAATTTTAGATTGGGTACAAAAGGGCAAAAATGCCAACCACTGAAATGGATTAAAAATAAAAGAGAAAATATTCAAGGTATTATTTAAGTAGAAGCCATTCATTAACAGGCTTCCATTTCTGATGACAAGGCTTTAAAACGTTAAAAATACAACTTTAAAATATTTTGAAAGCTAATAAAATATATAATATTAAGCTGTGGAGCAGAAAAAGAATATTTTTTATTTTATATTTGAAGCCTGCAGGTCAAATGGTTTAATATTATATAATTTTAGTTATGTAGATTGGCTAGTATGAACAATGTTTTGGTAAATATTATCAGGTATGATGCTGAAAGAAATGTATGTCAGTGAAAGTGTAAAAGAAATATTGAAATATGATCCTTATATGATCAAATCCTAAAAAAATGCATCAAACATCAAAAAACCGTAGTCATAGTAAGCATAAGAGTTATGTATATAAAGATTCCAACCAACACAAAACTTAAAACAGTTTTGTAGTAACAAAATAAAGCAAACAAACAAACTTTATGTAATAGGAAAAATGAGCTATGAAAAATGGGTATACTACTATACACATGGAGAAAATGTTCATTAAAATTCACACATTTTTTTGAAGTACAGCAAACTGTACTGCAGCTACACATATTAAAACATGAAAGTTTAGTGAAATGAGAAGAAAAGATGCTTCATAGTTCTTCCTGCATGAAAAATGCTCTTGTTTGCGCATTTATATTTCACTTTGGATCCACCATCTGCTAAATAAGTGATTGGAAATGATTCAATGTGAATGTTACTTGTAATGCACATTTATTCACACACACACCTGTATAGAGACACAGCAGCCAGGTACCAATTAGAGGGGCAAAGGTCTGGCCAGGCTTGGTTACCAAGGCAACCATACCAAAGAGAAGAGCAGAAGCTGCCTGCTGTCTGCGGTTCATCACAAAATCCTCATCCACCAGATCTGTGATCACCAGATTCAGAAGCTTGCAAGTGCCCTCGGTGAAAACACGATTGCTAAGAAGACACAAACAACAATCAAAAACTAGAAAAGACTGAAAGATTCAAAGACAAACACATATGTTGGCACTAGTGATTCATAAAGACTCTCCATAAGCGTAATGTATTTTATACTGTAAAAATTATTATTACATTGCTTATCCCACCCCTAAAACCAAGTCTTATTGATAACCAATGACAAATTTTGAACGTCAAAAGACCCTGTAAGTATGATTTAAGCATTTTGAACAACAAAAGCATCAGACGTGTCCCCATATGATGTAATAATTAGATCATACCCATATCATAATAAAAATGTCTGTCCTTGTAAATCACTAAAACCAGAAAACATACACACAGGCACACTTTTAAAAGTTTAGTTCAATGTGATTTTGATGTGGTGTTAACATAAAACTTAAAGTTACAAAGAAAATTGAAATAAATGAAAACACTGAAAATAGAACTTATATAAAAATCAACACCAACAACAGTGTCTCAGTACTAAAATAACACTGTTTTGATGACATATTTGTGGCTTTTTGCGAAAATACAGGCTTTATTACACCAATTGTTTGGTATGTTCTGTTGTAAAATCTGCTTTCCATGTATAAAAATAGAAGCCTGAATATTCTATCAAATATCTCCTTTGGTTTTGCTGGAAGGAAATACACGGTTGAGTAAATTATACTAAAATGATAATTAGGCAAAATACTCCTTTAAGACTGAAATCATTTGTGTAAGATGGATCAAAATTAATTCATATAACACAACTAAAACATGTAGTATATTTAATTACAACTACAACCTAAAATCTTAAAAAAAAAAAAAAAGATTAACACCAGTGCTTAATTTGTAAATTAATAATTCCCGGAACAAAACCAGGAAATAAAAGTTACCGTGACCCACGTCCACCACACACTATCAGCTTTCCCAAAAGATTACGTCATTAACAGTGATAGCGCAAAAAAAAAAGAAAAAAAAAAAAAAGAGACATTTTTTGTTTCTTCTACATTACAGGTCAATCATGGATAATAAAAACATGTTGGTACAACAATAAATCATATGAACATTCACTATTCAGTTCACTTCACTATTATTGTGAAGTGAAAAAATTAGTAATTAATTGACTCGGCCTAATCTTCAAGAAAACCCAACAGTTACCTCTATGTTTTCTTGCTGACTCGAGATTGCTTTGCTTCTGTCTCCCACTATCCTGATCCAAGGGTGCAGTTTCATCTTATGAAGATTTCTTTTGACCAGGCTCATTATCAGATTTACTTGTGGTTTTAAAAAATAAATATATGCTTGACTGCCTCTTTGCCATAATGAAAAAACAAATACTATTTAGGTTGGCCACTATGCGATTATTTATTTTCACTGCTCACAAAACAATCACTAACCAATCAGAGTGATTGTGAACATAATGAAGCTGATTGGCTGAAAATATTGTTGAGGGCCAATAGTTAAACATATCTTTTGCTTTAACTTGCACACAGCCTTCGCTTGCGCTCATTCACATCTCTCTCTCTCTCTCTCTCTCTCTCTCTCTCTCTCACACGCACACATGCAAGCACCACGCACAAGTTGATGCCATTAAAATAAATTCCCGAATGCAAAACACGAATTTCTGACATTTTCCGAAACAGGATCCAGTAAGATCCGACTCAAATTAAGCTCTGATTAAACTTAACAAAACATTCTAGAAATTCACTTAATTCATAATTCTACAATTAATTCTAACAATTAAGACAGGACATTCCAGCTTTTTCTTATCTCCTTCTATTATGTCTCATCTTAAAATAACATTGATTTGCGAGAAAACAAATGCACGCCTGCTCATTTAAAACAAAGACTAATAAATAGGCCCACACAGAATCTGCGAGTGCAGAAATTCACAGATGTCTGCAGATTTTTAGCCATTGAGATGTATTTACTGGTGTATATGTATGTACATTTATATTTATTCAGTTTTTTAATTAATTTCACAAGCATTATTGTGATAATAAATAATTAATAATAATAATAATGACAGTAATATTAAAATGTTCATCTGATTTACTTACAATACAGTTTGTAAAGTAATATTTTCTGTCGTTTAGTAGATATACTACATGAGAGACTTGCTTTGTTTACCAAATAAGTAAACCTAATTGGATTTGCATTGTAAACATTAAATCAAAGTTAAAAACAGATTATATTTCATATATTAAGTTTTTAGTTACGATACTCCTAAAATCATTTAGTATAAATCCGCAGATTTTTTACAAAATTCTTTGCTGAAATAGCATAAAATGATTCTGTATGGCCCTACTAAAAACCTAATCTTAACATTATGAATTGCATTTCACAGTCTGACCCATTTCTCACCTAGCAATAAAGATGCAGAGCAAGTAGATCTGGTCGGCCCCTGCTAAAAGCATGGCCACGCTGAGACCCAGCTTCAGCATGAAGAGTCCACGAACCACCTGATACACACCCAGTCTTTGGCACAGCGTCAAGAAGTAGAGATTGTTCAGATGAGGTGCAATGTAAGAAATTCCTGTCTCACACCAAAGCAGAGAATTAGTCATATTTAAGCATATACAATGATGGTTACACCTAATTCTGATGGTCCCCTTTAAGGCCTAATTATTCATTCATTTTCCTTCAGCTTAGTCCCTTATTTATCAGGGGAATAGCAGCAGAATGAACCACCAACTATTCCAGCATATGTTTAACGCAGTGAACGCCCTTCAGGTCACATGAATTGCTCAGGTGTAAGTTTTTAACAGAATCTTGCCGGTTCTGTGGGTTTCGTCAATCAAATCTGATCTTTGATTTGTATTTTATATTGGATTCAAGTCAGGTGATTGGCTGGGCCATTCTACAGCTTGGATTTTCTTTCTCCGAAAGCATTTCAGAGTTTCCCTGGCTGTGCTTTGGATTATTGTCTTGCTAAAATGTCCACCCTGGTTTCATCTTCATCATCCTGCTAATGTAGATGTTGGACTGAAGCAGCTAATATTCATTTACTCTTAAGAAAGGGCAGGGGATTGCTGAAGAACTACTGAGATCTGAGTCTGGGCTTTCACTGCCTTTCTACACCTCCCTTTCTTCATGTGTTCAATACTATTCCCTGCGTCATTTTATTTTATTACGCATAAATTAATTTGTAAACAAATTAGATTTGTTTTCTGTGTATATATGGATTTCTTTGGTTGTTACCAACATCCAGGGAAAAAATCAAGTCAACAGCACCTTTAGAAATATGTTTTCTGAGATAAATGGTGACATGCTTAATACTTATTTTCCCCGCTGTATTTATATCATTATCACCCCTGAGCAATTGTAGTTTAAATACATTTACTAGTATACATTTCTCGAAGGTTTGCTTATACTGTAGGTAAGCTCTAATAAACTCCCCAAACAAATTTAATCTTGCCTGAATTTGTTAAAAATGACACAACCTTAGCTTATTCTTTGATCCAAGCCTTTACACATTCTGTTGACTGAGTAAAATTCACTTTACTAACATTTAGGTGTAGTGCTTACTCAGTAGAGGATTAGTCTAGGCTTGGAGTTAGAAGAAAATGTATGTGCAGAGATACATATCGTGCAGGTGGTTGGGAAACCATCAAAATACAGTGACACCAAAATAGCTATGTAAATAAATGATTTCTGTCTGTCTTACCCAGCAGGAAGGACCCAGTAGAGGCAGAGATTCGGTCTGACAGGAGGTGCTCCAGAAAAAGAGGGAAGAAATTGTTGTTGAAATGGCAGTGGAATACCTGCAGATGGAGGATACATATATATATATATTCAGTTCTCCAGTTGAATGAGTGCACTTCTACTTTGCTTCACATTTGGACTCATAATTACCTGCACAAGGTTCATAGAGACAAACCACATGAAGTTCTTGTGGCGTGACAGCTGCTTTAAATACTCGCCAAGTGTGACCGGCTTCTCAGCTGAGGTAAAAGGAGCTTGACCGATACTCAGTCTGTACAAATGTCAAAGAGGATTGACAACCCAACAGAAGGCAGCAAAAAAAAAAACAAGGAAAAAAATAAGGTTAAGGACAAATTCATCCAATAAAATATATACAGTTAAAGTCAGAATTATTTAACATTTCTAAACATAACTCATTTCGACTAACCGATTTCTTTTATCTTTGCCATGATGACAGTAAATAATATTTTACCAGATATTTTTCAAGACACTTCTATACAGCTTAAAGTAACATTTAAAGCCTTAACTAGGTTAATTAGGCAAATTAGAGTAATTAGGCAAGTCATTGTATAACAATGGCTTGTTCTGTAGACAATCGAAAAAAATATGCTTATAGAGGCTAATAATACTGATCTTAAAAAATTAAAAACTGCTTTTATTCTAGCCTAAATAAAACAAATAAGATTTTCTCCAGAAGAAAAAAATATAATAGTAAATGCTGTGAAAAATTCCTTGCTCTGTTAAACATCATTTGGGAAATATTTAAAAAAGAAAATTCACTGGAGGGCCAATAATTTTGACTTCAATTGTCAATTCTGATTGGCTGAGCTTCTAAAATATTTCTATGTTACCTGATAACTGTCAAAAGCTTGCACACAAGCTGATTATCTGTTTTAATGCATAGAAAATTCTTATATAGATGATTAAAACACATTTAACTACTTAGAACACTTGCATCCATTATAACACTTATGCCAACATTTTATAAAAACTTGCAACTTGCGCAAGACTGTGTGGGTGGATTAAATAAGAGAGAACAGAGCCTTCACATTCCTTACAGAAAATCTACACCTGGAACAGTTCAAATCAAATTATAACGTATTTAAGTTAAAGTATAAAATTAAGCCTGAAATGTAATAAATGTACTATTATTTCTGTTAGTCGTTTTGTTAGTCAGTGCAACTTTTTGCATTTTATTTAGCATACAATTTATTATTTTTGAAGTGTTGATGCTTGATAAGTAAAGTCAGTGGTATAGAAAAATAAAATAAAAAATGCTTTACTTGATGCTTTCTTTCCAAAGCATGAAACTAGATAGTGATTGGTTGCAACCGAAATTGAATACTTCCATACTATATAGTACATCAAAATCAGTATGCAGGCCGAGTAGTATGTCCGAATTCATAGAATTGGAAAAACAGTATATGAGAAGTGACGTAACTGACATGGGTAGATCACGTGATCATGACAAAATGATGGATGTAGTCAGAGTTCCATTCATACTGCATACTTTTCTAACAGTCGAATACATTCAAATTCAAATGCAGTACCTACTGAGTAGTGGACAATTTCGGACGCAGCCAGAGACATTAGCCCTTTACACACATACAGAATTTTCAAGAAAATGACTGGTATTACTGTGTGAAAAGAGCTATAAATATTAACGTCACTTTATAAAAGAACTCTATGTATCTGCAAATATGCATTCTTGTAGTCAACCGTTACTATTTAGGTTGTCAGCTACTGTGAACGGCTAAAGACTAAATTATGTAACAAATTTGTAAACAACATTTCAGTATCCATAAAATCATGTGTTTGTTTGTTTTTTCTTTCACAGAGACAAATTATAGTATTGTGTTCAAACGTTTGAGTCACAAAACAATGATGTGATGTAAATGAATGACTACATTGCATAAGGTTTTCAATATTAGTTGATAAAAAAAATTATTATAACAACACCTGAAATAATTCTCTTTGTTCAAATAATCATGTAATGTAATGTGTAAGGACAACAGCACCAGTGCGCTCACCACACACCAGCTATTGGTGGAGAGACAGTGATAGAGCCAATTCAGTGGATGGGGATGATTGGGAGGCCATGATCGTAAGGGCCGATAAAGGGACTTTGGCCAGGACAACGGGGTTACACCCCTGCCCTTTCACGAGAAGTGCCATGGGATTTTTAATGAACACAGAGAGTCAGGACCTCAGTTTAATGTCTCATCTGAAAGACGGCGCCCACTGAAAGTATAGTGTCCCCTTCGCTATACTGGGGCATTAGGATTCACACAGACCACAGGTTGAGCACCCCCTGCTGGTCTGACTAACACCACTTCCAACAGCAAATTGGTTTTCCCAAGTGGTCTCCCATCCAGGTACTGACCAGGCTCAGCCCTGCTTAGCTTCAGTGAGTAACCGGTCTTGGGCTGCAGGGTGATATGGCTGTGGCTATTTCATCTATTTCCTTGTATGGAAAACAAAAGTGGTCTCATAATAATACTCAACGTTTAATGAATTAAATGCAGCAGAAATGCAAATTTTTGGTCAAACAATCCTTTCAATAAAGTATTTTGTTTTTATCTATTTACTTATTTATTTATTTTTAAACGTATTATTACTTTTTTGTATTTATTTATTTATTTTATTTATTTCAGTTAATTACCTTTTTTGTATTTATTTATTTTATTATTATTTTACTTTTATTTGTATTTTTAGTATATTGTATCTTTTATTATTAAAAGATGTGTAAATGTTTGTTGGATCAAAGTTTTATAGATAATTGAATGTTTTATTTGTTAATTTTGAATATTTCAATTTTAATGTTACTCTAAACTGCTTTTATATTTGCATCTTTTTTGTAAGGCTTGGCAATTTAGCCTTAAAATCAAAACCTCGATAAATTTACCTCGATTACGATTAATTAACAATTATATTATTTATTAAATGAATTCTTTTAAAATAAAATGTCGATTTCAATTAGTTTGATTAATCGCCCAGCTCTAGTAAACCGCTTTGAGAATTAAGTTTTAAAGGCGCTATATACAAATAAACTATTATTACTATTAAAGTTGTTTGAATTCAGTTTCAGTTTGAATGTTTGAAAAACCATAAAGAAAGTTCTAAAAAATAAATGTATAATCCTTTCAGTATCAGTGCTGGTAATGCAAATACATGATGTTCATATCTAGCGCTATCGGCATTTCTCCCCTGAGCAAGACAGTTTAACCCCAGGCAGCTCCACGGGGACTGGCTTTGCAATTACTGTGGTGTAAATTGCTTCGAATGAAAAGTACCCGCTAAGCGACAAGTAACATTTAGCACGCTCTTACTCAGTGAGTGGCTGGCTCTCGGTCTTGCATGGCTGGACTTCACTTTGAAACCGGTGCTGCAGAAGTCGCGAAACAACAAAGAAGCCAAGCATGGAAAGAGCAGCTAGAGTCACGCAGAATATCCTGAAGGAGTAGAAGTCTTCCTTGTTCCAGAAGGAGTACGAGAGAAAGACGGACACGGAGCCGATGGCACTAAATAAGGAGGTGTGGAAGTTGAGACGCGTGCGGTCGTGTGCGGACACCGCCAGGTCGGCCAGGAGAGCGTTGTGATTGAGGTCGACCACTGTAAGGAAGCCATCGTAAAGGCACAGGCAGATGAGGAACTGCAGGCCAGGCCAGGTCCAGGCCACCCAGAAGGCCAGAAACGAGAGGGCGAAAAGAGGCCCGCTGCGGGACAGAGCCTGCAGCCGCTTCAGAACCACCTCAGGGGACGTGATCTGGGAACCAGAGCTGAAAAACAGATAGAGGGAGATGAATGAGAGAAGTGCTCATCATATGGAAATGTGGATTTTATGTATAAATTGAGACTTACTGAGGAGAGCTCAGGAAGGAGCGGTCACTCAGCCAGCCAAAGAGAGGGTCGTTTAGGCTGTTCCATATTAGAAACACAGTCTATTAAGAAAGAAAAAATGTAAAGACTAAAGTAAAACGCATTAGCATACTGCTATTCAGAGTACAGGTAAAAAACTTTGTTCAACTTTGTTTTAAAAGTTAGTGGTGTACAAATGAATCGTTTCCTCAATGCACCGCAATGCAGAGGTGGACAATTCAGTATCAGTTCAGTAACAGATTATAACCAGTCATTACGTACTGACATCATTTATCTCATATGTGGCGAAGTGATGTTTTCTCTCCTCTTTCAGCTGTTTCAGAACAACTTGAGAGTGTGTTATCTCCACCAAATCTTTTCAGATAGATGTGGATGTTCTTTAGTGTCAGCATCACTGCTTGGTGAACAGCACTGATGATTAGAGCCAATAACAGCCATTTCCGTTGGGCAATCGTCAAGTACTGTGATTGGCTATGGACTGCGTAATTATGTAATGACATATCAGTTTTACACGGATATAAAATAATAGTATCATTTTCAAAAGTGTATTTTTAAGACCCCCAAAACATTGTTGTAATGAAAAAACTCCTACTAAACTACTAAAGGAGGTTGAACTTTCTCATTTATGGCTGAAATAGCCTTCCTGATAATGTCCGAGGCTCAGACACACTCTCTCAGTTCAAAACTAGATTAAAGACCAATATTTTAGTAAAACATACACACAATGCATCACATAACAGCATGATGCATGAGTGTGCTCCACGCAGGTGAGTGGGCTTGACAAACCACCTGTAGGACACACTTGTTCCGTCTCAATACAATTGTGTTAGAAAAACTAATATGCTTTACATGTTTGTTTCTATGTTTGTCTATATAACTCCTATTTTCATTTATAGCCCTTCATTTTTGCATTTCGTGTTTAAATACACTATGAACAGCAGCTACGCTAAATATTTTCTTTATTCTCTATTTCCACCTGGTCTGAGGCCTCTAGAGATTATGCAGCACCACTGATGCAATCCAAGACCAGTGAAGAAATGATGCCATGGAATCTATAATCCTGGACCAGGCCATATCCTAAGCTGATGCTGCGGCGGTCATGTAGAGAGCAAATATCTAATAATAATACTCTGTTTCATATAATAATTGCAGCAGAAATGCTAATTTTTGGTCAAATAATCCTCAGCGCTGGTAAGAGAAATACTTCAAGTTCATATCCAGCGTTATCACCATTGTTCTTCAGTTTCCCTATCACTGCTCGGTGGACAGTGCTGATGATTAGAGCCAATTACAGCCATTTCCGTTGGTGTTTAAGAACTCACTCAACAGAGCTCAAAAAGCAAGCGGGATTATTATTTATTATTGTGTAATTGTTCTAGATGTTTTCTGTGCCTGTGCTTGAGTTTCGATTGATATACTCAAAAAGCTTGCTATCTCTGAGCAGGGAAAATTAAAGGTACAGTTCATATTTATATATTTAAGTGCTTGCATTACATGCTATGTAATGACATTATTATGTAATGATATTTCAGTTTTCACAAAATCATGTTTTTGTTGTTTACATATATTTAAAATTATAATATCATTTTCAAAAGTGTGTTTTAAATAACCAACTAAAATGCATAAAGTGTAAATAACCAACTTAAATGCATAAAGCTTTCAGTTTAGTTTATAAAAAATAAAAATAAAAATATATACACACACACACACACACACACACACACACACACACACACACACACACACACACACACACACACACACACACCTAAAATACCACTTTGTACAAATAATCATCTGCTTTCCTTTTATGCTCAGACGTGGTCTAATAACAATAATAATGATGATAATAATAATACTTTGTTTTATATATTAATTGGAGCAGAATTGCTCTCTTTTGGTCAAATAATCCTTTTAGTAAAACTAATTCATGTTTATATCCAGCTTTGTCAACATTGTTCTTCAGTGTCCTTGTCACTGCTCTGTAGAAGCACAGCCATTTCCATAGGTCAATCATAGGTCAAAAAAGCATGCAGGATTACTATTTTTGTGTAATTGTTCGAAATATCTTCTGTGCTTGTGCTTGAGTTTTCATTGATATATACATTGAAGTTTTCTTTGAACAGGTAAAATTAAAGGTACAGGTCATATATATATAACTGCTACTACTAAGTGTTACTCAAAAACGGTTAATAACATTTGTGTCCAATTAAAATTTGAAATGACAAATGCAAACCAACCTACCTCTCCAACCCAAAATGACAACTTGTCAATCTTGTAAACAGACACGAAGGTGTCCACGTAATACAGTAAGAAGACGTTGTGGAGAATGGAGACAAACAGAGCCAGTGAGCCGTAAAGCACAGCTGTTGGTATGCCCTGGCAGAGGCCCCATACCCTCCGTCCCATCCTTCGCTACTTCTCTCCACTCTTCTGGCCCACGCAGCTCTACACGTCCCACAGGCCGAGTGGGGTGCGGTCATCGCTCTATCCACCCCTGCAAACACACACACACACACACCAACTCATTCAAACCTCGCAGTCTATTATTCTCTAAAATATGAGGCTGGGTTATGTCTGCCGTCTGTTTTTAGTCTGGAAATTACCATTACTTAAATTAGATTGAGAGAGTGCAATTGGGCAATG